GTAAGCAGCCATCTGCTACACAGATTGAATTAAACTCTGCGTGAGAACAGGGATATTAACAATGGAATTTCTCAAAAGCACAATACGAGAGATGACACCCCAAGTCTCTTAAGATTCAATAAGCGCATACCTCACCAGTACATTTAACACAGTACTAAAGACTACTGACAATTCATCAATTCCGAGTTGCTGTAAATTCATTTAATCTTGAACATATGGATAGACCTTTCTCCATAACTTAAGAATAATTATAGGATTTTGTAGAACAGCAAGAATCTCAGTAGCTTGAACTGTGTCTTGATTTTATATTCAATAAACTTTTAAAAATGTTGATACCCATACATTATCCCACAATTAGAACAACCAGAATCATATGGTTATAAAGCAGTAAAAAATTCAGAATAAAATCTAGTCTTCTCTTTTCATTTCAAAGAGACAAATGGCTAAAGTCCAGAGAACTCTGAAGCCAATTTATTCCTTTTAAAATCTCTTATTCTTTACAGATCCAAGGACAGCTTACCCATTCGAACCACAGGGCAACTCTTCTTGCACTCCTGCCGACATTTCTTAGGTTTGCACTTGTCGTGGTTGACAATGGCAATCCTCGTTAATTTATCTGCCATAATTCTAGGTAGGAATCTCCAGCTTCTATGAAGGAAAAGTTTTAAAAATTATGGCATAATCAATGAAATTAACTGAGAAATAAGTCAGGCATAAAACTTAGATAGAGGGCATAAATTATCGCTTGATTCAGAAAAGATCATCTGGAACTAGTAAAAAAAAAACAGCAAAAGTATAAAATAATGTAGTAAGGTTGGGAAAACAAAATATACCCTCAATTGAAAAGTTTACATACAGAAAAGAAACACCATTTTCAATATTCATACGCAAAAAGATGTAGGAATCAACTTAAAACATACAAATGTGAGGCAACTTTCAAAATACTGCTGAGAAACACAGAAGACCCAACAAACAGAATGACGTGCTGTCTCAGCTTTTACAACAGAGAACAGGCAACACTGAGGACTTCCGGCCTGGGCTGCCTTCCAGCCTCTTTTACTACTCCTGTCGGAGCTTTTGGTTCAATTCGTCCTTGAACCTCTCTCCTCCAATGATCTTGTCTTTCACCCTACTAGCTCAGCCACTCTTTCCTTCGGGCAAACTCTTGACCTTGTCATTACCAATACAGTCACCGCAATCCTTTCATCACAAATTCCTCTTCGCTAACCGCCACTCTTGTCAGCTCACCGTTCTCATACACGACAATCCAGCTCTTTGAAGCCCCCCATTTCTCGGACCCACTACCTCTGGACTCTACCATGTTTCCACTTTCTCTCAACCCTTCGCAGCTTCGTTTCCATCTGTGCCTAGCTAAAATTCCATTGTCAATCATTTATACTCTTGACACAATCCTGATTAAACACAATTCTTCATCTGCACACATACAGCTGAAAACGGGTAGAGAAACAACCAAGCCATGCTTGACGAGATCATCTCAAGTGAACCCTTAGCCAACCAGCAACCATACCGCCCCTGCTTCCAGAGCCGAGTCCATGTGCACACTAAAAGACACCCACTAGGGAGACTGTCCCAATAACTCTCCCTCCCGCCTTTCACATCATCAATTAGTCTTTCCACTGGCCCGTTCCCTCCTTATTCAAACACTCTATTATCCAACCTCGCCTTCTCTCATTGCTTCATATTTTCTTTCTTTTGCAGCAAGACTAATTGAAAGAGTCACCTATAGTCAGTTGTTTTGAATTTGTATTTTCTCTGGAATCCATTCCAAGCTTTAGTGAGTATCATTCCATCAAAACAGCTTGTAACTTCATTACTCTAACAGCTTCCCAACAGATCTCTTTGCTTCTGCTCTTACCTCCTTCTGTCCAACCCTTGACAGTCCCTTCTCAAGATAGGAGCCTGAATGTTCTCTTAATGTGTGAGCCAATTCATGCCACTCCTCTATTTTAAAATCCTGCAATGGTTTCTCTACTCTGAATAAAAGCCTGAAAACCACCAGCGAAGCACACTGATCAGCCTCTGTTAGCATTCTGAGCTCACCACCAACTACTCGAGCTGCTCATTTTGCCCATTGCATTGGCTCCTTGCTGCTCTTAGCTGCTCTTAGCACAGGCCAGACCTGTTCTTGCTTCCTGGTCTTGGCATTTTCTCTTCCCTCTGCCTGTAATGCTATTCACTCTAGTGAGTTACATGGCTCACTCCTTCAAGTCTTTGATGTTTATTTCTCAGTGAGCCTTCCTTCTCTAGCTATACATCCAAAAAAAATATATCTGACTGCCTTTCTGTCCCTCTTCCCTATTTTATTTTTCTTCTCTTTCCATTATGAAAGTTTATAGGTATTTCACATGTGTATATATAGTACATATAAACATTTATCATATATGTTTTTATATATTCTCTCTCCCTCTACACACACAGACAATATTTTTCCCTCTTCAAGTGGAATGTACTCCATCATGAGGGCAGGGATTTTGTACATCTGTTTTCTCAGGGGCTAGACCAGTACCTAGCACATAGCAGGAGCTGAAGCATGTCGATGAAGATATAAATTTAAATATAGTAAATAATTTTCCTATAGATTATAGCAACTTCAGAAATCTTTGAAGCTACCAATATTTCATAGTGAGAGTTTATCCACTAAAGTATATATAGAAAGAAAATCACTGACAAGAAGACTAAACAGTTATATAGCGCACAAAGTCATGTTAACGTAGAGGCTCACTTTACCCCATTTTCAGTCTAAGACCAAAACTGGTCCATGTCTCATAAAGATCAGAAGAGGGAGACATTAAATTACTTTTGAACTGCTCCAAAGATCTATCATTCTGGAAGCAACAACTGCCTAAAAAGTGAAGATTCTTTAGTTAGTCATTAAAATAAAACTGGGCACAAATATAAATTACCTGGTGCATGAGTGTAATGAATTCTCCAGGAGATAAATGTTTTATCCTGAAATTGCTTAAACTTTGTATCAGCCAAACTACTAAAATGTTTCATCTAATATTTCAAACCATTTAAAAAACAGAGTGATTATAACAATTTTCATAGAAAAATAAAAATATAAGAGATAGTCAATATGATGATTTACATAAAACACACTGATAAATTATTCCTGGGAACAAAAAGGGATTTGAACATATTTCAGATCTTACAAAATAGGTATTCAAACAATGACCCTCGCTGTCTGTCATTCTTCCAGCTGGGAGGAAAAAGGGACATATATGAAAAGCATCTGCAGTCTGAGACCAAATCATTATAATACCACATGAAAGTATTTAAAGAGCGCTGTCAATGAACGAAACTTAGTATCGTACTAAATACTCTAACCTATGATTATTGTAGATTATTAGTCTTATAAAACACCCAAGTTGGGAGTGGTACACAACTCTGATTTCAGAGTCTTGAAGACATTCAGAAGGGACATTAAATATTGCTTTCATTTTTTGAAAAACCCCAGCTATTATATCACATGATCTTCCTAAAATTTTTTTTATAGGGGAGAACAAGGTTTTTAACTAAAACAAAAGGCACGTTTTTGATTCAAATACAATATAAGAGCCCTTGGTTAACACTGACAAAGCACTACTGCCAGGTAGCTGGAACAGAAAGAAGTCTCGGTGTACAGGACACATGTACTCAGGACTGCAACATAAACACCATTGTCATTAATGTCTAGCTAGCTGTCCTGTGGAAGAGAAGATAAAAGAAAAGTAAAACATTGTTTTGACAGTTCTCACTTTTATCGACTTAACGGGGAGGGGGGAGAGGGAGGGGGGAGAGAGGGAGGGGGAGAGAGAGAGAGAGAATAGGCTTCTGTAGGTTTGGGATGTGGAACCCCGGTTGTGACCATCACGACTACAATGCAGGAACCACTGGAGGGAAAATAAAGCATTTTGAGTTAAGACACCAGCCCTGACCTCACGGAGTTTAAAATATAATTAAGGGGTAGAAGGTATAGTCATCAAGGCGAAAAGTGCTGAATGCTATGAAAGCGCACCAAAAAAGCTAAAGGCGTTCAAATGGGAGCTTATCTGGGGTAACCTCCGTTACAGCCGGGTCCTATGAGAAAAGTAAAGCGAGACCTGGCCCTCTTTTCTGTAAATACTGGGAGTGGACGAGTATCCAACTTCATGGCGTCAAGATGCGATGACTGATTCTATAGTCACCAAGCGGCATAAGAAAAGGCCACTATCCCCCATAATCAAATACGCACATGTGAAAATATATCTATTTTACTCTGCTAGGGGGAGAATGGGATTAATGGGGGGGGGGTGCTGTAAATTGTGAAGGTGCCGTCCTCTGTAGATGGTTCAGCCCTAGAGTAGGAGCGGGGTAAAGGGGGACTGGAAGCGGTGGAGGTAGCATCGTTGCGTTGGCACCTAGGTCTGTTCTCCTAGACTCTGATGGGGGTGGCGGGCAACAGCGGTCGCGAACCAGATCAGCTGGAGCGGAAGCGCGACGTGCCATGCCCTCCCCGGCCCGGCGTTCCGGCGGTTCCAGCTGTTCCATCCCACCCAAGCCAACTGCCACGCGCCGCTACCGTCCCCATCGCTGTCACCTGAGGCCTAATCACAGGTTCTTAGAGAAGATCCCTATAATCTTTAAGTCGTGAAAGATCAGAGATAACGGCCGAATCCCTGAGGCTATTTACCTACCTGGAGAGAACAAGCCCCTCGCGAAGGGGCGCGCAGAGGCCAAATCAGCTTTTGCCGTCACTTCCCAGCTTCACAACGTGTTCCTACGGCCTCCGGCCAAAATGGCGCTGCCCAGCCTCCGCCTGGCGCATGCTAAAGGAACGTAGTGTGCGCACGCGACAAACTGCTCCCTGCGCGACGGCGAGAACTGACGTCATTGTGGTGCGACGCCAATTCCATCTCTTCGGGAAGCCGGGTTGTCCGGAAACTGAGTGGGAGTGGCGCGGAGTTGCAGGGAATCCTAAAACCCTGAGCTCCGGCAAAGCCTGTTTGCAAGCTGTAAGTGCGTGAGCTTCTCCCCACCGTGGAGGCTGGTGCTAGCGTAGGCACCTGCACTCTCCCCCGATATCATTGTTTTTTCCCGCTCCCCATTTCTTCGAGGCCCGTGGGTCAGGAGCCTTAGCCATTGCACATTTGAGTACTTCTAGAACAGGTAGGTGTCAAGCAGGAGCGGCGGAGTCTAGCCCAGATGCTGCTGGCGTTGACGTTCCTTCTTTGGCTTCATTTCCTCAGCTCTGGCCAGGAGTCCAGTCTTATATGAACTCGGTGTTTTATCCACTTCGTGGCGCCCGATACCAAGTCCGGCAGTTGAATTCTGCTCCAGTAGAGAAATGGGCCTTTTTTTTTTTTTTTTTGACGTTTTTGGACACGGAACGTTCAGCTTGTAATGCTGACCAGAGGTTTAATTGTCTCATACGAGACCTTACATAACTTTAAGGTGGCAAGTACTGTAATGTGTGATTGAACTTATTTAGTCATCCATTTATTCATTCAATAAATCGCTACTTGAACATTTAAGTTTTAGGCCTTTACGAATTTTACAGGCCAGTGGCTCTACTACTATTTAGTGAGTATTTAAGTGGGAATTAGGGAACAACTGAAATCTAATAGGTGTCAAGGAGATTGTATACAGAACTATTGGTCCAAGTTTATAATAGCAAGTATAACGATGTTCAGTAGCTCTAACTTCGCATTTCCGAGACATTTTTACATATTGGTCACTATCCAGGAACTCTTTTTTTTCACGTTTGCATAGTCTTAACAAGATTGGCTAACAAAAGATGTGAAAGATGAAGTAAACTTTTGGTTTAGAATAGGCCAGCTAGACCTTGAAGCCATTTTTCTGACTTTGTCTTCTATGGTTAGAGCACTTTCAGTGGAGCTTTTGACAACTTAGTGGGGAGATGCGATTTTTCTCTGTATCACTTAATGGATTATTTAGACTGGAGACTAATGTTCACATATTTCTGGACAGAGTATTTCAATCTGAGTTTTCTAGGGAAAACGTCATTTGAATTAAGAATTTTTACTCATAGAAGTGTCGAACCATACAGCATTATACGGAATTGTAGATCAAGTCACGTCTTCGACAGGGAAGAAAGTCAAGTCTAGACCTGCCCAACGTCTAGGCTAGTTAAGGGAGAGACTGCAGCTAAATCCCTGATTTTGTGCCCTTTGTCCACTGTACTCTGCTGCTGCTTTGTACTGATATATTTTAGAAACAGAAACTGAATTCCCAAGGTTTTAAAAATTACACTGAGTTATGTTTACTGCATTTGAGAATTAGATGACTAATACCAAGGGTATGTTGATCCATTTGCTATTAAATTTTTATTTTTACCTTTTGTAAAAAGGTGCTGAGGTCCTGTATAATGTGGATATTCTTATTTTTCTTCATAGAATATTTTAAAAATGACCACACCCAACAAAACACCTCCTGGTGCTGACCCTAAGCAGTTGGAAAGGACTGGGACAGTACGAGAAATTGGGTCACAAGCTGTTTGGTCACTCTCATCTTGCAAACCAGGTAAAACACAGCAAGCCAAACTGTTTGTAACAACTGCATACAAGTTTCCTTGTATTCTGGGCTGACTTGAATATTTTTTGTTTATCTACTTTATTTTAATTCTAAAATAGATTTAATGGAGGTTTCATCTAGTATATTTCTCTTCCCAGTTGCTCAACTCTAATATCCACTGGAGTTTAACTGCATGCATCATAAAGTCTCCTTTTTATCCTTTCCTGTCTCTGCTGTGATCCAGTTATTTGGGTAGCATTCTTTGTTGATGTTGTATTTCTCTGTGTGGGCTGAGTGGGTGATACATTTTTTGAGTGACTACATATCCCAAAATAACTTTATTTTACTCGTGGTTGGGATAGAATTCTTGAATGTCAGTCTTTTTCTCAAAAATCTGTGGATGCTATTTCACCACTTTCTGTTTCGTCTTGTTGCAAGTAAGAAGGCCCATGCCTGTGTCACTCTGTCTTTTTTTCTATGACTTGTTCTTTCTGGAAACATTTATATCTTTTCTATTTATTTTTAGCATTCAAGACTTTCCCATGATATGCTGGGATACATGTGTATCTTTTCTCATCTGTATAACCTGTTATTTGATGGGCATTTTCTATCTGTAGACTCAAGCTCAGAGAAAGATTTTTGGCTTTAGGAACTTTAATTACAACGTTATTGGTTTAGTAGTTGCGTTTCCTTCACATTAAGACTCCTGTAGTCATCTTTCAAACCAAGCCTCTTATGTTTCTCCTTACAATACCTTTCTCTCTCTTTTTACAAGTAATTTATTGAAGTATAATTTACTTGCAATAAAACTTACCTTTTTAGGCATATAGTTCTATGAGTTTTAAGGAACACACAGTCATGGAAGCACCATCACAATCAACCACAGAGTATTTCCATCATCCAAAGAAATTCCCTTATGCCTCTGCCCCTCCTCCCTGCAAGGCGCTGACAACCTCTGATTTGTGTCTCCTTGCTTTTCCCAGAATGACATATAAATGTAATCATGCTGTATACAGCTTTTTGGGTCTGGCTTCTCTCACTTAACCTAATGCATTTGTGATTTTTTCCATGCTATTATATGTATCATTATTTTGTTTCTTTTTATTGCTGATTGCTGTTCCACTGTATGCATCTAACTCAGTTTGTTTAACTGTTCACCAGTTAGTAGACATTTAGCTTTCTGGTATCCAGCTTCCAAAATGATCTTTGTCTTTGGTTTTCATGCCCTTCTGTTGACCCCTCCCACATTGTATCCAGGCTGGTCTCTTGGAACAGTACCAATAGAATACAGCAGAAACCATGGTATGTGACTTATGAGACTAGATGGTAACAGACATGGTGACTCCCCCTCACGCTTGTTGGGATCACTCACTCTGGGGGAAGCCGGCCGCCATTGTGTGAGGGCGCGTGTGGCCGGGATCCTTGGCCTCCAAGCAGTAGCCAGTGAGGAACTTGGCCTCTTGTCAGCAGTCACATGAGCAGACTATCTTAGAACGGATCCTCCAGCCCCGGTCAGGTTTTCAGATAATTGCTTCGGATAACCTGACGGCAAACTCACAGGAGTCCGTGAGCCAAACTGCCCAAACAAGATGCTCCAAAATTCCTATCCCATAGAAATTGTGAAAAAATGCAAGTTTGGTATTTTAACCTGCTATGTTTTCTGATAATTTGTTATGCAGCGATAGTTAACTTAGATAAGGTTATTTTCAATATTTGGTGATTATGGATAAAGCTGCTAGAAACATGAGCAGGTTTTTGAGTGGCCATATGGTTTCCTTTTTCTTCAGTAAATGCTTCAGAGTGGAATTGCTGGGTTCTATTGTGTTTCTTTCTTCCCAAGCTATACTTTTTATTTTTTTTTCTTGTTTTACTATATTAGCTATGACTTCCAATATGTTGCATAGGAGGGGTGAGAAGGACATCCTTGTCTTATCCCTGATCCTAATGGGAAAGCTAGCTTCTCACGGTTAAGCACAACGTTAGCTGTTATGTTTTTGCAGGTGCATAAAGTTGAGGATATTTTCCTCTATTCTTAGTTTGCAGATAAATTTTACTTTGAATGAGTGTTGGATTTTTGTCAGATATTTTCTCTACATCTACTGATATGATCATATTGTTCTTCTCCTTTAGTTGGTATGATAGATCACATTAATTGATTTTAGAATACTCAGCCAGCTTTGCATACCTGTAATGAATCCTGCTTGACTGTGGTATATAATTCTTTTTATCTATGGATTCTTTTTGCTAATATTTTCTTGAGGATTTTTGCATGTGTTTTCATGAGACGTGTTGTTCTTTAATTTTCCTTTCTTGTAGGTCTTTGTCTGGTTTTAGTGTTTGAGTAATGCTGCCCTCATAGAATGTGTCCAGAAATATTCCCTCTGCTTCTGTTTTCTGTAAGAGATTGTAGAGAATTTAAAAAATTTCTTCCTTAAATGTTTGATGGAAGTCACAAGTGAAACTATCTAGGCCTAGTGATTTTTTTTTAGAAGGTTATTATTTTTTATTCAATTTCTATACTAGATTCAGATGATCTGTTTCTATTTGTGTGAGTTTGGATAGGTGGTGTCTTTCAAGGAATTGGTCCATTTTCTGTAAGTGTCAAATTTATGATCATAATGTTGTTTGTAATAGAGTATCTTATTATTATCCATTGAATCAGTAGTGATGGCCTCTCTTTCGTTTCTGATATTAGTATTTTGTGTCTTCTCTCTTTTTTCTTGGTTAGGCCAGCTAAAGGTTATTGATTCTTTTCTTTTTCTTTTTTTTGACCTTTTCATAGTACCAGCTTGTGGTTTCAGTGATTTCTCTCTGTTAATTATCTGTTTCCCCTCACATTAATTTATACTCTGATTTTTATTATTCCTTTTCCTTATTTTGGATTTAATTTGTTCTTCCATAATAGTTTCCTAAGGTGAAAAATTTCAACTATTGATTTTAGATCTTCTTTGGTTTTCCTTAAGGACTCCTTAAGTGGGGTGTGAGCTTGCATTTCTTTGATTTGTAACTTGGTGATATTGTATAGGAGCTCTGTTGATATGGTGGTAAGCTGTGGGGGGAACAGAAGTGTTCTGTAATCGTGTGACTACACCTCAGTCTTTTAGTGGGCCTCTGTTCATGGCTGTGACCCTGACAAGTGTTTCTGACCTTTTCTTCCCCCTTTTAGGTGAAGGCTAGAGGAGGCTGGAGTTGGGTGCATTTGTCCCCCATGTCAGTCAGGCTGTGATGAAACAGTTTTTGAAGTCAGGCCTTTGTTACGGAGAACAGAATGCTCTGGGTGTATTTCACACTGATTACCTTCTCCCTGCATCTGCAGGGAGCACTGGAGAATTTTCTCTGATCTTCACCCAGAAGAGAACCTGGTGAGCTCTTAGAGGTAAAATTCATAAAAATGTGGAGCCCCTTTAAGGTTGGGCTTCTGGGAGTTTTCCTCTCTCAAGCTAGTTCACACTCAGGCTCCAGCAGTTAATCTGTTAGCAATCAGTCATCATTCTTGGAAGTTTTCCTACCAGCCGCTGGCTGCGGAGATGGTTTGTGCTCTCAGTAAGCTAACATTTTGTGTTCACCTCTCTTCAGTTTTTTGGGTGATAGTTTGCCCTGTGACTCCAATTCTCTGTTGTACCTGAGAAGAATTACTGGTTTTCAGTGAGTTTGTTTTTTTTTTTTTTTTCCTTATTGTTGTGAAGGATGAGAGTGACATCTTCCAAGCTCTTTACATATCAGAAAAACTGGAAGTACCCGGACAAAGAACAGTGATGACTTCACTGTACTAGTCAGTGGGGGTGGTAGACGTTGTTGGATGAGCACATGTACTGTGTGGTTGTCACATTCAAAATGACTGAGCCAGTAGAGCAATGAATCTGTGTCAAGTTTTGCATTAAGCTCAAATATTCCTCCACAGAAACTATTAGGATGATTCAGACAGCCACAGCTATGGGCACCTGGTGATTGGCAGCTTCATCACGACAACATGCTCGCTCATGCATCATGTCTTATACAGAATTTTTTGGCAAAACATCAGATCACCCAGGTGGTTCAGACCCCCTACAGCCCAGATTTGGTGCCCTGTGACTTCTGGCTTTTCCAAAACTAAAATCCCCTTTGAACGGAAGTGATGTCAGACCATTGATGAGATTCAGGAAAACATGATGGGGCAACTGATGGCGATTCGGAGAACTGTGTGAGGTCCCAAGGTGCCTACTTTGAAGGGGACTGAAGTGTCATTTTCCTATATACAATGTTTCTTGTATCTTCTTCAATAAATGTCTCTATTTTCATATTACATGGCTGAATACCTTCTGGACAGCCCATATACATACATACATATACACACACATGTATATGTAATTTCATATTTTGAATATATAGCTCTTTCTTTAGCATGAGAATTTATTGTCACTTGTGGTGCTTTTAGGATTTGGAGTGGATCAGTTACGAGATGACAATCTAGAAACTTACTGGCAATCAGATGGCTCCCAGCCTCATTTAGTGAACATCCAATTCAGGTAATACATTTAAAAATTTTTTTATTTAATTTACTAGGGTGACCTTGGTTAATGAAATTATATAGGTTTCAGGTATACAATTCTATAGTACGTCATCTGTGTGTTATACTATGTGTTCATCACCCAAAGTCAAGTCTCTTTCCTTGACATTTATCTCCTCTTTACCCTGTGCTACCTCCCACCACCCCTCTTACCCTCTGGTAAACACCATTCTGTTGTCTGTGTCTGTGAGGGTTTTTTTTTTTTTCTTAATTTTTTCCACCTTTTTCACACAGACCTCTTAACCCCCTCCCCTCTGGCAGCTGTCCATCCATTCTCTGTATCTATGAGTCTGTCTCTATTTTGTTTGTTAGCTTATTTTGTTCTTTAGATTCACGTATAAGTGAAATCGTATGATATTTGTTTTTCTCTGACTGGCTTATTTCACTGTTGGAAAAGGTAAGATTTCCCTTCCTTCCTTGCTTCCTTTCTTTCTTTTTAACACCCGTGTAGTATTCCACCGTGTAAATGCACCACCTTTTTTACCACTCATCTACTGGTGTGCAGTTGGGATGCCTCCAAGTCTTGGCTATTGTAAGTAACTCTGCAATGAACAAAGGGGTGCTTGTGTTTTTTCAAATTAGTGTTTAGGGTTTCTTCAGGTGTCTTCCCAGGAGTGGAGTCAGTGGGTCATAGGGCAGTTACATTTTTTTTGAGGAACCTATACTGTTTTGCACAGTGGCTGCACCAGTCTGCATTTCTACCAACAGTGTATTAGGGTTCCCTTTTCTCCACAACCTTGCCAGCACTTGTTTGTTGATTTGTTTATGATGGCCGTTCTGACTGGTGTGAAGTGGTGTCTCACTGTGGTTTGAATTTGCATCTCTCTGATGGCCAGTGATGCTGAGCATCCTTTCACATGCCTCTGGGCCCTCTGTATGTCCTCCTTGGAGAAGTGTTTGTTCAGGTCCTTTGCCCATTTTTTTTCAGTTGGGTTATTTGTCTTCCTGGAGTGGAGTTGTGTGAGTTTTTTATGTATTTTGGAGATCAGACCCTTGTCCGAGGTATCATTTGCAAATATATTTTCCCATATGGTTGGTTTCCTTTTCATTTTGCTGATGTTTTCTTGTGCAGAAGCTTTTTATTTTGATGAGATCCCATTTGTTTATTCTTTTGTTTATGTCCCTTGCTCTTGGGGATGTATTGGTGAAAGTATTACTGCGTGGAATATCTAGCATTGTAATTTTGTTTGTTGTTATCTTCATAGTTACAGATCAGCAAACTTCTTGTGAAAAAGCCAGATAGTGTGTTCTAGGCCTTGTGGGCTGTCTGCTCTCTCACAACTGCGCAGTTGTCGCGTTAGAGCAGGAGAGCAGCTGTGGGCCACGTGTAATGACGGGGTTTCGCTGCTGTGGTTAAACTTTGTCTCCCGAGAGCAGGTGGTGGGCCGGGGTCAGCCAGTGGGCTGTGACTGCCAACTCCTGTCTTAGGTATTAAATATGTATACACCATAATAAAAACAGCAGCTAATACACGTGTTGAAAGACTTAAAATACCAGATACTTTGCTAAATGTCTTACCCACTTTCCCAGTCACTGCATTGAACCTTTACAGCTATTATTCATCTTTATTTTGTAGTTTCAGAAGCAGAGACAAATAAATGATCTTACTTGCCCAGGGTCACATAGCAAGTGAGTGGAAGAACTGCAATTCGAACACGGGTAGTTTGACTTAAGAGCCTGCCCTTTTAACCATTGCACTGTGCGGCCGGGTAACTCGCTTCTCCGGGTAACAGACAAAGGTTATTGCTTAGGAGTTGTGTAATGAGTGTCCTAATTTCATTGTATTATATTAGCATAGCAGGGTTTTTCCAGAAAATACAGTTTTATACAGAAGAGCAATGTATTGAAAAATAATAATTATCTATTGAAATAATGAAGAACAGAAGAATGTTAAGGAAAATATTGAAAAGTTCTACTGGCTTGCTTTGTTTTCGAGAGAAAGGTAGATAGTTTAACAGTAGAGATAAAGAAAAATAAATAAAAATCAGTATTTCCTCTACTTGAATGAGAACACTGATATCCATAAATGCCATTGTTATTTAAAACACTTTGAACAAAAAGTGCTTTATAAATTCAATAAAATCATATACACATAAATACCAACACATGTACTGGTGTAAATTGCTTAAATCATACAACGAATTTCCTGTTCTCCCCAAATTGCAGACTGTTCATAACTTTTATACTTTATAATTTTGTAAAGTTTTAAGTCCTTAAAAAGCAGCAGTCAACAGATGAACGCTAGGGTCCATGGCATCATCACACTGCAGTTTTTGCAGTTAGACGTCTTTTTAAGAGAACACTTTACAGTTGTCGAATAGTTTATTGCATTTACCCTTATTTTTAAAAGTAGAGAAGTGGAAAAAATCAAAATGCTGATGCCACTTAAAAAATAATGGGTGCTAAGCTTAATAACTGAAGACAATTGTGATTATGTTAGAAATCATTAACCTCAACCATTAGCAATGATTAACCTCAACCAGATATTATTGGACTTTACCAGTCAACTACATATTGAATCTGCATGGAAAAGACAAAATTAAAGGAAATACTAGAAATTCATTGTTAAAGATTTTTATGACTAAAAATAAAACGTGGTATAGTCTAGGATTGGGTTAATTTTCTCTCTTGGGGAGCCAGCTTTCATGTCTCTGTTATGTAAGCCCAGTGTTCAACTTTCTTCTGCTTGGATTTCCATGGGTTTTCATTAAAACAATATGTACTAAAGAAAGGACTTTCTATATTGGAAAACAATGTTACAAGTAAGCTTGAAAGAAGTTCAGCTTGGACTTTGTATTTTGTTAAGATAAAACAAAATATTTAACTCCTTAAATATTCTCCCCTTCACAGAGAAAATACCTGATTTCTTGTAGCAGTTTCTCGGCTAATTGAGCCTGTAGATTTTAGGAATAGTTAGTATGTATGAATGATGCGTCCAGGTGGACTGTAGTGCACAATTGCAAGGCAGCATTTACTTTTAGACCTCATTGCTACTTCAAATCAGGGGCAAGTTCTTCCCTTGACCTGGGTAAGAACTTGGTAAGGAGCAGGTATGACATTTTTGGCTGCTATGTAAAGTTCTCTCTTTATTTCAAATAGCAAAAGATAGATTAAAAATGAAAACATTCAGTTCTGGCTAATGGTGAAAGCCTCAGGCTTGCTTTAGCTTCTTGTAGGGTTTCTTTTTCTCCCTAAGGTTGAATCTGTTGCAAATGAAAGAGGGAAGGTGTGGTTGCCTCTCTTTCCCTACCTTACTTTTATTTGTCTTCTCCCTTATTCTTAACTGACTTCTGAACTCTCCAGGCCTGCTGGTATGGAAGTGGAGAAGGAAAATTCCTAGTTGCCAGTTCTATCTTGGCTGTCCAGCATCGGTGCTGTTTGCATGTGGCGGTGTGTTTGAAGCTCACTCTCTGATGGATGCCTCTGTGGTTGAGAGAACGTGTCCCCTGGGTCACGCGGTGCTGTGGTGATGCACCTGACGTTCTCTTGCGGAGGATGCACGCGTCGTTTACTCCTTCCCTGATTCTTAGGCCTTTGGTGACAACGCCAGCTTTTTGCTGAGGATCGACCCTTTGTCCTTACTGACCAGAAACTAATATAACCCATTAGGTTAACAGGTTGATGATGAAGTTCCTGTCTTTTCCTAGTGTGCCTAACACTTTTTTGGTGAATAACTGTTGAATTTTCTCAGATGCTATTTCTGTGTCTATTTGTGTAATCATATGGTTTCTTTTCTTTAGTTTATTGAGATGGTGCATTTCAGTGATTTTTCACTGTAAAATATGCATAACGTTTATCCCTTGTAAGCGTATGCTTCAGTGTGATGAAGTGTAGTCACACTGTTGTACAGCCGTCACCACTGTCCACGCCTAGAACTTTTCATCATCCCGAACTGAGACTCTGTGCTTGTTAAACAGTACCGCACCGTGCTCTTCCCTCAGTCAGTCTCTGGTCACCACTCTTCTACTTTTCTGGCTGCCTATTTTTTATGTCTATCCATATTGGCCATTTGACATCTTCTTTGGAAAAATGGCTACTCAAGTTCTTTGCCCATTTTTGACGTGGGTTTTTTTCTTGTTGAATTTTAGGAGTTCTTTTTGTATTCTGGATATTAATCCCTTATCAGATATGATTTACAAATGTTTTTCCCCATTCTGTGGGTTGCCTTTTTACAAAAGTTTTTTTGGTGTCATATCTCATTGATTAGTTATAATTGTTGTATTGTATTATTAGTTGTTAATCTCTTACTGTGCCTTGTTTATAAATTAAACTTAATCATAGGTACGAGACTCCGATTATGTAACAGTGTGCTGTATATTGTCTCATAGACCACTGGTGTTCTGTTCACTCTAATGCGGGATGAGGGCTTTTTGTTTTCTGTGCTTCTCTTCGGAGAGTTTCTGTGGCTCTGTTACTGTGTTCACTGTCGTCTGCAGTGTTTAAACTGCTGTTAATCTCACCTAATTAGTTTCTCATTTCAGATTTCTTTTTTCCTGTCCGGAAATTCCATTTAGTTTTTAAAACATCTTTCATCCCTTCTCATTTTTATGTTTTTTAAAATTCTTCGGACAGGTTTACGGCAGCTGTGTTTCCCAGTGTGCTCGCCGCGTCATTCCTGTTGCACGTGCTCTTCAGCAGCTCTGCTGCCGCCTAATCACCGCGCGGCGCCCACGGTTCCCTTCTGTGAAACCAACCGGGCCCAGGCCTTTGTGGATTTCTTGCCTACCAGAGCCTGGATCTTACGATACTGCTCTTTCTGAGGCTGGGTCATAAAAAGCAATACAGATTCTTCCTTGTTCTCTCTTTTATGTTATTCTCTCCCTCGGTATCCACCTACCATGCTGGGAGAAAACCCACATCAAATGGAGAAGCCCGTAAAGGAAGGAGCCAAAGCCTGGGGCCTTAGCTGAGCTCCCAGCTGACAACCAGCACCAACTTGCCGGCCCGTTAATGAGCCGT